GCGGGATCATACTCACCTCTTCTTGTCGACTGATGTTACCCTGGAAAAGAAAGCTTAATTCTGAAGTTCTCAATCGATCAATCCAAAATTATCGCTGCTCACTAGTTCAGTCTCGGACACCAGGAACTGGTGCAGGCGCTTCAGACCCTCGTGTTTCCGAATCACCTGACGAGACAGTTTCATTTTAAGTCCAAATCCGTTCGGATACCTAAAAACGCGATGAAAAGTATAGCCACAAAAAGCCATTACCAAACCATGAGATTTCTGAAGGTGGCTGCACATTTTCTTCATCCACATACACGTCTTGCAGCGACGGAAAGTAGTCCTTCTTCAGGATGTGCAGCAATTCAGCTGCTGTCCTAAAAACACAAGATAGTCTAACAAATATCGTAAATGACTACAACTGAGATTTACTTCGAAATAAAATTTGGATAAATTAACCTATGAGAAGAGAAAAGTTTGATTATAGCTAGAAAAGGCCATTCTTATAAAGAAAGATTTCTCAAAGGCCAGATCTAACTATGCGCTACAGCATCCCTTGCTCTTACTTGTCTAAAGGGAGGGGAGCATTTAAGCAAGCCACGGCTCCATAGTATTTGAGCATCATCACTGCCAGTGCATCTAGCGTCATTATGGCTGGTAGAGCCACCTCGCCTTCACTACAACAATGTTTCAGGAGCTGATTACAGAACGAAAAAGCATCATCATCGTGCGCCTGAGTACGCCAACCGCTTATGTGTATGCGGTAGGACATACATAAGGAGTAGCAGCATTTTGTAAGCGAACAAAATGATGCGAAATGCGCTGGCACTGTAAGTGCTCAAATAGCATGGAACCCGGCCTGTTTAAATGCCTCCAAACAGCTAAGAGCAAAGGAGCCGTAGAATATGCCCGAAATCTAAACCTATACGAGTCAGTCGAGACCGACACATTCAATCATTTGATACATTCAGACGTACGGACAGCATATTATGTTTAAAACGCCATTTTTGGTTTAATTTTCATGTTTACTCTGAAAGCGGTTCTTCAGAAAGCACCTTTAGCTTGCTGTTCGACCGATACCACATATCGTTGATGATGTGAACTATGTTCGGCCTTTAATTCTGAAACATCAGTCATGGGACCTTCCTACTGATGCTGACGCAATTAAGGACACTACAGGTCCTAAGAACTTGTAGAAATATACTTTCTTCCGATAAGAAAAGTGATCCTAATCACAACAAACAAACAACAATTAGCGATGTTAGCATACACATGAGACCGTTTTAATCAGTTTAGGTATTGCAATTATACTGTTATGGTAGATTCAGCAACCGATGAAAACAAGTCTACATTCTTATACTCAATATCAAAGAATTGCGATCGATATAAGAGCAGAATAGCAGGGTCTAAGTCTTCTTCCCGTTCCTCTCAAACGAAATCTTCTACATACACTGCCGTTAATCCCTTCTTCCTCACGTTTTCTTTAATCTGCTTCTGATTCTTCATCTTCACCTTTCTCCTGTTTCTCTCACACATTAGCTTCGTCATCTTTGCTTTTAACTTCATCTGTTTTTCTCGTTCTTCTTACCTTCGCTTAATCTCATCCTTTCCATTTCGTTTTCTTCTTTCTTTGATCATCTCCTTTTCTGTTTTTTGCCTCACCCTTCATCCTATAGTTCTTCATTATCCCATTCCTTGTTAATCTCTTATTTCCATTTATTCTACCCTTTTAATCTCATTCTTCTTCTTTTTCTTCTTCTTCTTCTTCTTCTTCTTCTTCTGCTTCATCTTTTACTTCCAACGAATGCTAGTTTTTCACTCATCCTTACACAGTAACATTCGACTGACTTCGAAACTGCGAGGAAACAGTTTCCAAGAAATAATTCAAATCGACCGCGAGGCACAAATGAATTAAGAATTTAAATAGGAGACATTTCAGAAAAGTGATGGAAATTCTTTGTAAATCAAATCATATAAAACACAGTCAGCAAAACTTTATTCAAGAAAAATGAAAACATTCAACGATCGAATATTTACCTTTTGCAGCCGACAAGACGAAATGTATGAGGCAAATCGCGACGTAAAGCGCTGAGAAAATCCTCCCATTGATTATCAGGAACTATGTTCTGTGCCTGAAAGAAATAGCTTATTTTGACATAAAAACTGAAATTGAGTTTGTTACTACGAAATGAAAATGTACTCTAATGCAAATTTGAAAGACAGCATTCTAATATTACAAAAGTTAATATTGACAGTGAAATCTGATCCTGGAGGAGTAATGCGTCAAATGACATACTCCGGGGTACGGATATATTTTGATGTCGATTAAACAGCACATGAGGAATCCCTGAACCATGGTTCTAGCGAAGAAGTCGATGCGATATAATCCTGATACTACAGGTGATCAAACTGTAGCAAATAAAGCGTAAAATCTAGTCTTGGAATAGCTATGAGTTATCCAAAAGTTACCACTATTTATAAAATAGCTTAGGCATATGACAGTTTATAGTATAACAATACAACTGGAATATTTCAGATTATATAATACGAATACTGCGAATACAGTATTATCACGCCTGTCTGCGTGTGATAACTTATATGCGGTCGACTCCTCATTAATCTAGTCTGAATAAACAAAATCGACTTGGCTGGCAACTTTGAAAAATCATTTTTCTTTCTTACTGTGCTCTTGTCACCTGACATCTGCTCACAAAACTCTTCCGCTATACGCCTTTTCTAGAATATCAGAGCCAAGATCGACTGCAGGAGGCAAACAGCCTCCATCTAAATATTTAGGCAACTAGATTGTCTTCTTCAATGATGAAGGAGAAAGAGAGAGATGAGAATAAGGAGAAACAACGGAGGAGAATAAGGATAAGTTGAAAAATGAATATGAACAAGGAGAAGCAGAAAAACCTGGACACGTGGAATAGGATGAGAAAGAAGACGTCAGAAACGAGGAAGATGAGAAGAGAAAAGGGCTGCTAGATCACTCTTCTTCAAAGCTTAACCCGGAAACTAGCCTAAGAGATTTGCCGCTGCGCTAAATGAACAAGGAATCCCTCTCTCCCTATTTTTGCAAACGAGGATCAAAATCAATCAGAGAAGAGAAGAAAAGAACGCCTATACATTACGATAATTTGAGTGAATAACAAATTCAAGATCTATTCAGGTACACTGCAATTAACCTAAGTCGGACAGGGGGTTCCGATGCTTGGAAAGAATGTCTACTCTTTTAATCTACCTCATGATGATCCCCTTAATGGATAAGTGAGAAATGAAACTCACGTAATGCACTAGCTGCTTAAAAATTTCCGTTTGTTAGGTGCTGCAAAAATTTTTTGTCGATTGGACATGAAATACAAACTTCCTAAGCAAGACAACATATAGTCTTTAAATGGTTTGACCTTCAAAAATATGATATATGTAATTTGTGCAATATCATGGATCTGTCTAGCTAAGGAGTTATGTATTACAAATATTTCACAAAAATTCTGTACGATTAATAAATTACCCGATAAAACTTTTCGAACAATTCGTTTTTCTTCACAATCGGTTCGCGCTTTCCTGTGTTTGGTCTTGTTTCCGCCTGAAACAAAACGAACGATGAACAGAGTGCAAAGAACAGAATTGGAAATGGCTGCATTACAGTAATACAATTGAACCTGGTTTTCGACGGTTTCACTTGCCAGTGTCAATTTAAGCTGCTTTGCTGTTTTAGCTTTGTTAGTTTGGATAGCTGGGAAATCGAATTGACGAGTTTCTGAAGTACCATCGACTGTATGATTGATCTTAACCATGGCATTATGTCTTTGACTATGATGTCACGTACACTGACTTACTTATGTATCCTGAAACTTTTCCTAGGTCAATTTATACGTCTGTACAAAATATAATCAGCCTATTGGTCTCCTTCCGAGATTCTTTTGCCTGGGTCCGGCTTGAGCTAGTGAGCAGTCACATTAAATCTGAAGACCATCATCAACATTAAATGAATTACGTTATTATGATGATACTGAACTTCGATGATTCTAAAGAACGTCTGGCATTTACCAATATTTGAATCTGAAAAAACATCATTTTCATTAAATTAAGAAAATGACTTGAAAAATATATAAGAACATGGTTCCGGCGTGACTTTAGTAAATTTTGAAACCTTGCCAGATTTCGGGAAAAACTCATCATCGTAACAGTTGAAAATCAGCATATGATTCATGAAATGCGTTATAAACAAACTCAGCACAACAGAAGGAGAAAATTTGGGCGTCAACTTAGTACGAAGATCCAAAATGTTCAAAATGGATTCGACGCAACTTCACAAGAAGTAAACCACCAAAATTTAAGCACGCACCGAGGAAGTTTTACTGGCATTCGTCTCGCTTGGACATGTTTCCTTGTTACCGTTTTCAGGCGCCATTTTAAGCGTTGATTTGAACGATATCCGTTAAGCACACGTTTAGAAATGCGCGAAAGCCCGATACCAACTGTAGTGTCAAAAGCATGTAGGTACATAGACTTTTTTCATTCTATAATGGAAACATACACAACTCATTAAAGCGCATTGCACGGAGTTTAACAAAATGAAATTCATTTATTGGATAAAAGGAATTGCAATATGATGACCGGAAGAACACAGTATTAAAATAAAATAACTAGGAAATATTTTTGTTTTTACCGTCACGTAACAAAAGTAAAAAAGCTGAGCTAATCAAATAAGCTTGACCTCTTGTGTTCAACTGACCCTGCGCTCGATGGTCAGTAATAGTTTCCGAAATGATTTTCCTGTAAAATTTGTTTCTTTATTGGCCATGGTTCTATTTTCTCATTGCATCGCATATCATGCTATTTTTTGCTCTACACAGCCGAACCTTTCTTTCCTCCTTGACTAAAGCATGCCATAAGTTCTCGTATCTTGTTCTATAGACCTTTTCTATTTGTTTTTATTCTCCCATACCCCACGATTCCCATTTGATATAGAATTTTTTATGAACATTTTATATTAACAAATGCTGCGCTAACAGTTTCAAAATAAGGTTGCGTAGGTCAGTTACGTTTTAAGACGATTGTGATTCAGTTTTGAGTAAATTTTTTATTTAATGTCATTCGTCTGTAGTACACATTAAATTATACGATTTGTTTTTAAAAGTAGTGTAAAAAACGAAGCACTGATATCATATTCGATTTTAGCGGCAACATGTTGAGTAAATGTCTATCTTTATCTGTTCGTAGTCGGAGCATGGTATTGGAGCGGCAAAGAGGCTGGGTTTGACCTCCGGGTGCCGTGTTCGAATATGTAGGACGGACACTTTTTCCTCGTGCGCGAATTCTTTTAGTAAGGAGGTAACTCCGCGTTGCTTTGGTACAGCCAATCCAGCAACGGATGATCAATCGGTCACTTGCGAAAAACAGGAGCAGCCTGATATTCTGGTCTGTTCAAGATATGACAGACGAAGTGTATCCTTCTAACCGATGCGAATGCTCCTTGTGGTTCTGCATTTCCTCTTCACTCACCTAATGGCTGATTCTCTGTCAAAAAAAATAAGCTAGATTCCTATTTCAGTTTCATTTTGCCGTGGGTTTTATTGCCATAACAGCTACGAAAATTTTCCTCTTCTTCCAGTTTCATTTATATCCGATGATCATGACTGACACCCATAGAATGAATTGGCTCTTTACCATTCTAAACTCTACAGATGCGTAGACTTTATCACTTCTACTAGTCCAGGATATACGTTTTCTATCACCACACCAGAATAATGATAGATTCCCTGTGCTGTACAGAAGAACTTCAGCATTTATGGGAAACGACATTCTGTCATAACTCCGCGTTTGTGCGTGAACCGCTGAATGTTTTGAATGTTTTCATTTTGTTCACTTCTGCAGAGAATCACTAATAGACGACTTGTGTGAAATTTGTCTAAAGAGTACGCTACCGTGTTCAAGGTAGTTCTATTTTTCTTTCTTCTACCTTTTGAACTGATTGAAAATAAAAATTTTCCTATTACTGTTAGTTGAGCAACTTGTTTTACGCTCTGCTAAGGTAACGAGGTTTGTACATATCCGCTTGTTCCACGCACAGGGTTTCAACCAATCTGGAGCTTGCGAATATGAGTTAAACCTGCAATTAATGTGCATTGCGATGTAGGTGGGTATCTTAAAGAAGTTCGTTTTTAGTATTTTAGTCCCTATACCGTAAAATGTCGGGAAGCGGAAGCTTACTACAATTTTATTCTGTATTTGAACTCAATCTTTCGAGAATATTGTGCTGATGCTCGAAGTTGCGCATTTTTTGCCACAGGACTTTTGCCTCCACATATGTAACCTATGCCTGTAGTCAAAGGTCGGCTGTCCCATTGCCATTTTATTCAATTTTTCCATGTATATTCCAACGATAATCAATGATATGAATTAAATCATGTTACATATAATCCTTTGATGTAAGCGATTCCGTAGAACTGATGCATTTGCGGAAGCCTTCAGCGTGTCTTTTTTCTTCATTTTACTGGTATGCAGAATTCTTTTCCTTCTGATTGACTGATGTTCTATAATTTCTACCGTGTCTTTAGCTTTGATGTTAATGGTGGGAGAAACGATGTGAAAGTTCATCAAGTCGTTTGCCGACTCTCTCTGCTGTTCATGAATTGCATGGTATTCTGCATGCCAGCGCAACTGTTGGAGCTCTGCATCTTGTCCAGGACTAGAACCAAGAACCAACTTAGTGGGTACGTTATTTATTGGACGTTGTCAAACGCAGGAAGGATGTTTTTACCTTCTTCGGTGCTGCTTCTTCTTTGCTGAATTGCCATATTCTCGGTGAGATCGAACGTATAAACATGACATCATGGCGTTTCTGAGCGCCTGGGAACGGATCTGCGTAGTCAAGCCCATCGATCTTGTATCCACTGAGAAAGATGCTGATCTTTCCGATCATATTTTGTATTATGTAGTTACAGGCATGCATCAGTTGCATGATAGTTAGCTACGCTTCGTTAATATCTTATTGGTTCCAAGGGAAATCAGTTCTCTCTTTGAATAAAGTCAACAGGCAATTTTTTTGGAGGACATCCACATTCTCAATCCCCCAGCGCATTCCTAATTACAACATATACTTCCTTATGATATTGAATGTTTCAGTTGCCTTAACAAAATCATGCTTCTCGTTCATGAATCTCCATCATTCCTATCATCATTGAACTCAAAGACTTGCTTCGATGAAAATTTCTCTGCTTCATCTGTCTCGTTTGAATTTCGAAGTCTCTATGCAAGGAATACACAAATTTCCGTTTACCTTCCCGTGAAGCTATTTGGCGCTAACAATAATTTATTTGCATTCTTCTTTTAGCATATACTCTACTGATGCGAGAGATATAAATACAATACGGAAGATAAATGTTAAAGTCTGAACTATCCAAGTTTTTACGATGCATCATTGATCGTCGCACATTATTTATCATTTCTTCGCGATGGTCATTGTGATTCTGACGAAGTGTTGGCAGTCGGAATGAAGACTTTGGCACTGAACTCGTGTGATGTATTTATAAGCATTAGATCAGAGCGATATCACTCCTTGAAGACAAGCCACATGCTCTAAAACGTTCGGGAATACAGAAATATTTAATCTGATGACGTGATGCAACCTCCAGCGGATCTATCGTATTTTGAACCGCCGGTTCGTGCGACTGTGAATCTTCTTCACCTCTATATTTATCAAGTTGGAGACATACTCCTTAAAAGATGCTTTTCTTAAATCTCTAGCACTGAAACGATACGAATTTCCATGGATAGCAAACAGATAGAACATGAAGTTCCCTATTTTAGTTTATTCAGGCAACAGCGCAGGATACTCGTCATACAAATGTCAAAAGACGGTCAGAGAGAAACAACGTTCGATTCGACAGCAACACTCACAAAACGGTAGTTCCGAACGCAATGTACATAAAAACAACTGGTTTTAATTTAGCGATTTGCAGGCGAGCAGGGCACTTTTGGTTGTGCCAGCTTTGACGGGGAAGACCACTTTTCCGTCTTCCAGGTACTCGTTGAGCATAATCTCGTACAAAGTTTCGAAGTGAAAGTAGCTAAATATCTTTTGAGATCCAAAAGCGGTCGCTTCCGAAGCGACCATTCGACAGCCCGACTTCCGGGCCAAGTCCAGGCTAAGGGACACCAGGGCCTTGCCGATGCCTCTTCCGTGATATCCATTTGCGACACTCAGCGCTATGATTTCCATACATTTTCGGTCGCGGCCGATCCGCAGCAGAGGCTGCTTCACTTCGTTCATTATCTTCATTACTTTGAGCGCCTTTTCGGACATCGCATGCTCATTGAGGGCACACACCTCTTGCACGCTTCCCACGCCGTTCAGTGCACAGCCGATCAGCTTGCCGTTTTGCTTGGTGCGAACCACATACGTGTACGATTGGCTGAGGGCGACGTTGATCCACGAAAGAAGAAGCGGTGCGATTTCCTCTCGAGTAGCAGCTAACGACTGAATCAGAGGTTCGTCTTGGCCAAATTCGTCGCACATGTAATTCAGCAACTCCTCGCGGTTGTCCGCCGTAGGCTGCTCGAAGGCGATTTCTTCATTTGATATATCCCTCAAAAATGGAAGGACAGACTCCATGTTGTCGACAGTCAGCCACTCAGCCGATAGTAAATGTGACTTCAGTGCGGATGCTGAGCGAATGGTCTCCCTTTATCGGCTGAGTCATCACTGAGGTCAGGTTATCAGAGATTTATCACTTCGGCTGTCGACCTCTACGTCTACGCCTACCTATTGTCTGCAACAATAAATAACTGCGCCGTACTGACCGCGACGCTGTTTCATTATAGACAGCTGGTGCGATGATTGCGGCCTAAGTTCTACAGAAAAATATGTCAGATTGATTAATCGACGCAAGTAGGTCATTTAATGGCCATTGTCAATTTCTGAGAAGATCCATTGCCGTTCAACGTTTTCCAGCTGTTTACTTCCCAACCAAGACGATTAGTACCTGTTTAGAAAAGATTGTTCAGATGACAATTATATGTTTCTGTTTCAAGGCTGAAGAATGGTCTGATCGTTTATTCCTTCAGGTATCAAACTCACACTGCAAAAATCTAGTTCTAATCTCTGCAGGTGCCATTCTACTTCTTACCTACGAAGGAGATAATGTAGTGTCTTTATGGGTGAAAACAAAGCAGGGAAAAATTCACTGCTTCCTCTCAATCCATAATTTTTGACAAATGCTGTATAACGGCTGACATCATCAGGTAAATTATAAATATAATTAGATAGAATAAAACAAGAAAGTGCACAAAACTTTTCCGTCGATGATGGCGACCAAGTTAGACTAATTGTGCGATATCCTGATGAAAGGACAGGGCGAAATTCACGTCAATTAGTGAAGTGCAAACACACCATCGCTACCTTTCCACTGTTTCCAGGTATTATGGTGAATATAAAAAGTCATGTATGCGATTTACAACGTATGGTAGAATTGTTTCGACTTGTCTCACTAAAACTAGTTGTTGGATTACTCGGCATTTATCAAGC